GGAGGAGGAGGAGGAGGAGGAGGTGGTAGGAGGAGGAGGAGGAGGGCCGGGCCATGAACTTCGGCTGCGCTCAAAGAGTGAGCTCTCGCCGCCGCGGCCTCTGCCGAGCCGGGCCGCGTGCCCGCGCACGCAGGCCGCCACCGGCTGCACCGTACTGGCGCGCAGCGGCCGGGAAGCCTTGAGTCGGGCCTGTCCCCCTACAGGGGGATTTTCGACGAAAAAAAGAATACCACCAACATAGTCAACCAATTATCCAAAAATAGTCTGGGGACTATTTTTGGAGTATTTTTTGGCCTTTCTGGGGTATTTTTGGGGTACTTGTTATTCTTCGTCGAAAATCCCCCTGTAGGGGGGACACGCCCGACATAAAGGAAGCCGCGCACCAAAAAACCCCTCTTGCCGAGGGTCGACTAGGCGTGAGAGTGACCTTTCGCCGGAGTGACCTCTGGTGCGGGCACAGACGGGTCCCCAGATGGCTGAACACGAAGCAGGAGCAGCGGCTTGCGCGCCGAGGTTTGGCCCCCCCGCGGCCCACAGGAAGCCGCGCACCAAAGGTCACTCTTACCCAGGGTCACTCTTGCGTGTAGCCGAGAGGGTCAAGTCTTCGGCAGCAAAGTGGTGGGAGCCTGGTATACCCTCTTAACTATTCCGTCTTCGGTGTCGGTTGGCGTCGACTTAGCGCCTGGGAGTCGATGAGATAGCGCCGATTCAGCGTCGGTTAGCGTCGATTTAGCGTCTGGGAGTCGATGAGATAGCGCCGATTTAGCGTCGGCTAGCGTCGATTTAGCGTCGATCGGCGTCGACTAGCGTCGAGTTGCGTCGATTCGCAAGGGCCGACAATATGGTTTGGGAGGCTCCCATGAGTTGCTACCGAACACTTTCACGTGCAGCCGAGAAATCTTGCCGGATGTCATGGCCCCCTCTTCTCCTTTCCATGCGTCCCGTGCCCCCCCCCCCCTCGTCCGCGCACGTGCAATCGGCCATGGATTGCGAAACCCCTCTTATTCCTTTTCTTATTCCTCCCCTTGTTCTTCTTCTTCTTCTTCTTCTTCTCTTCTTCTTCTTCTTCTTCTTATCCTTCTTCTTCTTCTTCTTTCAATGCGTCCCGTGCCCCCCCCCTCGCCCGCGCCCGTGCATCCGGCCATGGCCTGCGAAGCCATGGCCTGCGAAGCCCCTCTCTCTATGGGCCGCCGCCGACGTGCACGCCTCCGCGTGCGCCCGCTCTGGGCCCGAAAGGTGGGCCTGGCCAGGCTCGGTGAGGTGGAGGAGGAGGAGGAGGAGGAGGAGGAGGAGGAGGAGGAGGAGGAGGAGGAGGAGGAGCGCCCCCTCCCTGGAGCTCAGCTGATGTTGAAACCCTACCCTGGGTCTCCGAATAGGCGTGGGGGGGGTACCCCCCCGACGGGGGTCAGCCTCACCTCGTCCTCGCTCCGCGACGGGGGTCGGAGCGCCGTCGGCGCGCGGTGGCTGCCCGCAACGGGGGATCGATGTGGGGCTGCCGGCGGGGGCGACGCCCCCCCCCCCCCAACGCTTATTGAGAAACTCGGAGTAGATTTGGGTGTGTTGGTTTCCCAGTTTTACCTTTGCGGTCTTCGGCCAACCAGAACGAGACGCCTCGGCAGCCCCGAACGGACACGACCTCGGCAGTGCAGCACGGAGCCGAGCCGAGAGCGGCGCGCACGAGGGCCCCACAGCGAAACAACGTGAGCGCCCCCGAACGGAAGCAAGAGCGTAGATTCTGAACACGGAGCAGGCGCCCCCCCCCGCCGTTCTTTCAACATCATCCGCGCCCCCGAGCGCCCAAGGTCGGCGTCTCCCTCACATACTTATACTGTATGTGCGTCGCCCCCCCGGGGGCGATGCGCGCACCGAGAAATCTTATGATATATATATATATATGTATATATATATGCATATATCGGAGGTTGGGGGGTGAGATCGAAGTGGAACGGAGAGCCCCCCTACCGGGAAATCGATTTCGGTTTCGTGTTCGTGCGTGCCGTGCGGGCGAGGCGAAGCTGCGTGGGCGGGCGAGAGAAAGTCTCCTGTGGCTGAGGCGCGGCCGGACCAAATGATTCCCTTCCGGGCGGCCGGGGCCCCGCGGTGTCCCGCCGGTGTCCCGCTGGTGTCCCGTGTGGCTGAGGCGCGGCCGGACCAAATGATTCCCTTCTGGGCGGCCGGGGCCCCGCGGTGTCCCGTCGGTGTCCCGCGGTGTCCCGCGGTTTCCCGCGGTGTCCCGCGGTGTCCCGCCGGTGCCCCGCGGTGTCCCGCGAGGATGATGATGATGAGATGATGATGATGATGATGATGATGATGATGATGATGATGATGATGATGATGATGGTGTCCCGATGGTGATGATGATGATGATGATGATGTGGATGATGGTGTCGATGATGATGATGATGATGATGATACTGTCCCGATGATGAGGATGATGATGCTCATGATGATTATGTTGATGATGATGACGATGATGGTGTCCCGATGATGATGGTGATTCCGATGATGTTGGTGATGATGATGTTGATGCAAATGGTGTCCTGGCGATAATGATGTTGATGATGATGATGTTGATGATGATTATGGTGTCCCGATGATGATGCTGATGATGATGATGGTGATGATGATGGTGATGCTGATGATGTCCTGATGATGACAATAATGATAATGACGATGTTGATGATGATGTTGCTCATGATGATGATGGTGCCCCAATGATGATGTTGTTGATGATGATGTCGATGATGATGATGATGTGATGATCCTGATGATGATGGTGTCCCGAGGATGATGACGATGTTGATGATAATGTCGATGATGAGAACGATGGTGATCATGATGGTGTCCCGATCATGATGATGATTATGATGATGCTGCTGATGATGATGACGATGACTGTGTCTGGATGATGATGATGATGTTGATGATCAGATGATGATGGTGATGATGATGTTGCCCCGATGATGATGCTGACGTTGATGATGATGTTTATGATGATGATGTCCCGATGATGATGATGCTGATGATGATAATGATGCTGATGATGATGATGATGATGATGATGATGATGACGGTGCCCTCATGATATGATGATGACGATGTTGGTGATGATGTTGATGTTGATGATGTTGATGATGAGGATGATGCTGATGATGATGATGATGATGATGATGATGATGATGATGATGATGACGTTGCTTGTGAGAGCGATTGTGATATCGATAGTGAGATCGATAGTGAGACCGAATGTGAGATCGATTGTGTGATCGATTGTGATATCGATTGTGAGATCAATTGTGAGATCGATCGAATGAGATAGATCGAGTGAGATCGATTGTGAGATCGATCGAGTGAGATCGATCGAGCGAGACCGATAGTGAGATCGATACTGAGATCGATAGTGAGACCGATCGAGTGAGACGTTGGTTCCCCCCCCCCGAACCTCCTTATCACCCGAAGGGTGGTCGTATAGGTATGTATGTATATATATATATATATTATATATATATATATATATATATGCGTCGTGGCGGGCGCTTCCTGGCCACGCCGCTCGGGAAACGACATACTACCAGGAGGGGAATACTACATGTTCGGGTCGGACGCGCGCGCCTCCCAGGAGAACGCATAGTACCAGTTTGTGCTTGTGCGCCCCACAGGGGGCCGACCGCTTCTCGCGCGAGCTCGGCGAGCGCCGCCTGTGGGCGGTGTTCCCGCCCGTCGTCACCTCCGACGGCACCTGGCCCTCGGCCTCGCCCTCGGCAGGCCCGGGCGCGGCCCCGGGCCCCTCGCGGCGTCGTGGGGCTGCGGGGCTCCCCTGGAGCCCCCCACGAGGCCCTGCTGCTCGCGGCGCCCTGGCCGCCCTGGCCGGCGCTTGCTGGTTTTCCCCTTTTTGGGGCCTCCTGGGCACTCCTCGTCGCCACCGCTGGATTCGCCTCGAGATCCTGGTCAGAACGCACCCTGGGGAGCAGCGGTATCGGTGCTTCATAGTTTCCCCAAGATCGGGGCGGCCGTTCCCTCGACCAGACTCGCGTAAGAGTGACCTTTCGCTGGAGCGACAGTTGCTGCGGGCTCCTTGGGGCCCCCCGAGCGCTGAAAACGCGAAGCGGCAGCAGCGGCTGGCGCGCCCAGGTGTGGCCCACCCCGCGCCCCCCGTACAGCCGCGGACCAAAGGCCACTCTTGCCGGGGGTCACTCTTTGCGTCTGGCCGATCCCTGCTCGTGTGGGCTCTCCTGGGTCTTTTTGTGGCCTCCGGGGAGGCCCGGGTCATGACCCGAGCGGCCGCCGGAGACCCGAGTCGTGACCCGAGAGCCAGGCGACGAAGATCCTCGCCGCCCCCGCCGCCGCTAACCTGGAGGAGGAGGAGGAAGAGGAGGAGGAGCAGGGGAGGAGGTGGAGGAGGAGGAGGAGGAGGAGGAGGAGGAAGAGGAGGAGGAGGAGGAAGAGGAGGAGGAGGAGGAGGAGGAAGAGGAGGAGGAGGAGGAGGAAGAGGAGAAGGAGTAAGCGGGGAGGAGGAGGCATGGCCGGCCTGGGCTGGACGAGAGCTGGATAGCGCACGTGGCCGCGCGCCGTTTTCCAGCGCTCGGCCCCTGCCTGAGATGCGTTTTTCGCCGGCCCTCTGCACGTGGATGCAGCGCGTGGCCTACGCGTGGTCGACGGGTGAATCCAGCCGTGTGTGTGTGTGTGTGTGTGCGCTTGTCCGACTTGCTCCGCCTCGTCGCCGCGCGTGAGGCCGCGGTCGCTTTGCCCGCCGCCTCGACTCCCACCGGCCAGGCTGCCGCTCTTCTGCCCAGTGAGTGGCCGACTCCCCACTGCCCCGCGAGGGGCCGACTGGCCAGCGCGCGCGCGGCCCCCGCGTGCGTGTCTGACGGTGTGGCGCTGCACCCATCAGCTGACGCTCGAGATGCACAGATGTTCGCGACGATTCCAGACGCAGGGGAACACCACTACAGAGAAACATGAGTTCCATGTCAACGCTGCCCTACAATCTAGCAGTCATGCTGCGTCGACCTCGTATCCCGCAACGCATGACGCCGCTCATGTGAAAGTCGTGTGCGCGTTTTCAGTTCTTAGTCGCCGATCGCCTTCGCAACAGAGTTCAAGCGCCTCGTCATGACGTGGTCGTTACATGTGCGGCATCCGCGCGGATCTGTGCCGAGGTGTTGCGGCGCTATGCCGGATGCTGTACGGAAGTCATCATCGGCATTTTGCAAGCGGAGGAGGAGCAGCAGCAGGAGGAGTGATGAGGCAGATGAGGAGCTTGTGAGCAGGAGGCTCAGGTGGATAAGGACGACGCAGAGAAAACAATACATCAAATGTGGTGCGGGCGATGAAGAGGCGGCGGAGGAGGAGGCGCCAGGGCAGATGCGAGGATAATGCGGCGGAGGACGAGGAGGAGGAACAGCAGTTGGACACTTACGGCATAAGTGATAATCACAAGCGCACATGAACATGACAAGAGGAGAGAGAAGGAGAGAAACACAAACAGAAGAGCACACGAACAATTCAGCAATTAATCATATCCACGAGGCGCAGGCGGTGGAGGAGGAAGAGTAGTAGGAGGAGGAGGAGGAGGAGGAGGAGGAGGAGGAGGAAGAGGTGCTGGTGGTGGTGGTGTTGGTAAAGAGGAAGCAGGAATATTTTATTTTAAGCGGATATGGATTGAGTGGAGGAAGAAGAAGAGATGGAGGAGGAGGAGGAGGAGGAGGTTGAGGAGAAGGAGGAGGAGGAGGAGGAGGAACGAAAGGAGGGATAAAGGAGAAGGAATAATATTATGAGGTAGGATTAAGAGGAGAAGGGAGCGATGAGATGATGTATGGATGTGAGTGTATGGTATGAGGCAATAGGATGGATGATGAGTGATGATGATTTAGGAGGTATGTAGTAGTGATGAGGGTAGTAGGGAGTAAGCTATGGTCTAGCAGTAGGAGGTGATGAGGATGAGGAGTAAAGAGGAGGATATGGATGATTAGTGGAGGAATGAGGGAACAGCGGCATCAGTGGCGGCAGCGGCTGCGGCTGCCGCCGCGGAGCAGCAGGGCGGCGCGGAGGGCGTTCGGCCCGCCCGCCCCACCTGGGATCACTCGCCCCCTCCCAGGCTTTTTTTTTTTTTTTTTTCTGCTGCTGCTGCTGGCCCCCCAAGCCTCCCTTCTTCCTCCTTCCGCCCCCGCTCCTCGTCATCCCCCCTCCTCCGCTGCTCGTCCTCGCCCCTCCTCGTCTCGCTTTTTTCGCCACCCTCCCTGCTCCTGCTCCTCCTCCTCCTCCTTCCTCCTCCTCCTTCTCCTCCTCCTCCTCTTCCTCCTCGTTCTCCTCCTCTCCTCCCCCTCCTTCTCGTTCTCCTCCTCCTCCTCCTCCTCCTCCTCCTCCTCCTCCTCCTCCTCCTCCCCCGCCTCCTCCTGCCCTGAGGCAGGAAAAAACAACAACGCCTCCCGTCGTGATTTTCACGCCTCGAGGAGGTCCCGATCCCCGATCCTCCGCCCCTCTCGCGCCATGCTCGATCTCCCCCGCCCCTCGAGCCTTTTTTCGCGGCTTCTCGTCCGCAGCAGGTCGCTGCCCGATCGTATTTTCTCGATCCTCGACTCCTCGACGTCTCCTCGACCTCTCCTCGACCTCTCCTGGACATCTCCTCGAGCCTCCTCGAGCCTCCCTGGCCCCCCTCGACGCCCGCGGCCTCAACGTCTCCTCGAGCCTCCTCGAGCCTCCTCGACGTCCGCAGCCTCGGCGCTTCCTCGCGCCTCCTCGACGCCCGAGGCCTCGCCGACCCCGGGCGCGCTCCGCGCGCGCCCCCTCCGCGACGGCGCGCATGGCCGAGGCCAACGCCGGCGACGACCTGGTCTGCGGCCGGCAGGCCGCGCCGGTCAGCCCGCACGCCTCGTTCCGGGACCGGAGCCTGCCGCGCCCACAGCGCGCGCAGATCTGGGCGCCCGAAATGGGTACGGAGAGAATGGGTACAGTGCCCAACAGCAGTTGCTATTCCTTTTGAACAGGATTCGCTGTCCACGCCGCCGCGGCCTGTGTCCATTCGAGGCAGAAGGCCGCCTGCCCAACAGCGGCCGCTGTTGGCTTGGGACAACCTTTGCTGTTGGGCATTGTGCCCCTTCTTTTCGTGACGCCCGCCGCCCGCTCGCCCCGATCCATCCGGGCTCAAGTCGGGCCTGTCCCTCCACAGGAGGGGGTGGGAGGTGCGACACCAACACCACCACGGGGGGCCTGGACTTGAGCCTGGATGTGCAGGGACATGCCCGACGTGAGCCTGGATGGATCTAGGGGAGCAAAAAGTGGCATAAACATAAAAACTCGGAGGTCCGTGCGGATTTCTCGGATCGGCGCTGGACCCCCCTCCCTGGCGCGCGGAGCGCGCCAGGGGCGGCGCCGGAGGCGCCGCCGGAGGGCCCCAGCGCCGATGCGAGAAATCCGCGCGGACCTCCGAGTTTTCATGTTTATGCCACTTTTTGTTCCCCTAGATCCATCCAGGCTCAAGTCGGGCATGTCCCTCCGCAGGAGGAGGCGGGAGATGCGGCACCAGCACCACCAGAGGGGCCACCTCCAGCGAGGAGGTCCACGAGGCCTCCCCGAGCTGGAGGCGGGGGATGTCTCGAGCGAGAGGGGAGGACCACACCACCAGGGAGACCCCCCTTGCTCCTCGCATCTCCTCGCCCTGGTGGTGTTGGTGTCGCCTTTCCTTGTTCCGATGCAGGAGGAATATTCAAAAATAGTTTCAAAAAATAGCCTGGGGACGATTTTTGGGGTCCTTGCGGCTATTCGTCTATTTTTTGATATCTTTTGGTTTTTCGTCCAAAATTCGCCTGTAGGAGGACACGCCCGACCGAAATCTAGGCCTCCTGCAGTGGAGTCCCATGCCAAGAAGCACCCTGCTTGCCTCCAGGGTGCCCTGGGTTTCTTGGGTTGCGATGGTTTTGCTCTGTAGCCCGATTTCCTTGACGTCGACGTCGCCGACACATCGCCGTCGTCGGCGATGCGGCGCGATCCTCCGACCCCCTCTACTCCGACCCCATCTCAGAGGCCTCTAATCAAGCCGACTGTGTGGCCCTTCACGGGAGTCGCAGAGAGTTCCCAACTGCCTTGCGGTTTGGGGGATTTCGTTGGATTTGGTCGACGTCCGAACGACATCTGGACGACATCTGGACCACATCTGGTCGAAGCCTGGAGGAAATCTGGTACGGAACTCCTGCTGACGTCGAGTCCTTCGTGGGGCCGCGGAGGCCCACAGAGGCTTCCCACGAAGGCTCACACAGAGCCGAGTCATCCAATCCGGACGCCAGAGGGAGTTTTAGGAGGGTCTCGAGTGCTTCAGCTTCGAGGTTTTTTCGAAGGTTTTCGTCGGTTCTCGGCGGTCTTCCAGCCTCGGGATTCTCTCCAGCGGCTGGGCCTCGCCGAAAGCGTGCCGGGGGGGCCCGGATCGTCGCGAACGGACGCCGGGGAGCCGAGTTTTTTGACCCGAACACCAGGGGAGTCACAGGAGGAAAAGGTACCGATGCCGCTACCCTTCCCTCGTTTTCGCCTTTGCGGGCCTCCGGGGAGGCCCTCGTCGCCACGGCTGGATTCGCCTCGAAATCCTGAGGACGCACCCGAGGAGACACCCAGGGTGTAGCGGTGTCGACGGCACCTTCTAGTTTCTCCACGATTGTCCCGATCAAGCCGAGACATCCAGTCCAGACAATGCGCAATAGTGTGGCGCATTGACGATTAACTAGCCTGGCGAAGGACCCAACCATATGCAGTTGTGAGTACCGTCGTTGTATGCACCGCTTTCGGAGGAGCTCCCTGTCGGGCCACGGAATGTGCGAGGGGTGTGCCAAAATGGGTGCGTTGGGAGCATGCGAACGCAGCCATTGGGGCCGTCGGTGGAGCTCCCTACGGGGTCACGGAACGTGCGAAGGGCGTGCCAATATGGGTGCGGTGGGCGCATGCGAGCGCAGCCATTTGGGCCGTCGGTGGAGCCCCCCATGGGTCCACGAAGCGTGTGAAGGGTGTGCTAAAATGGTGCGGTGGGCGCATAATTACGAGCGCGGCCACTGGGGCCGTCGGTGGACCTTCCTATGGGGTCACGAAGCGTGTGAGGGGTGTGCCACAGCGGGTGCGGTGAGCGCATGCGAACGCAGTCACTGGGGTCGTCGGTGGAGCTCCCCATGGGGCCACGGAACTTGTGAGGGGTGTGCCAAAATGGTGCGGTGGGCGCCTGCGAATGCAGCCACTGAGGCCGCGGACGGGCCTCCCTTCCTGTGGGGGCCACGACGCGTGTGAGGGATGTGCCGAAGCCGGTGCGGTTGGGGGCGCGCGAGCGCCGCCGCCGCGGGGGCTGTCTTTTTGCCCGGCCCGCGCGGCGCTCGCTGCGAGCACCGCCCGCTCGAGGGAGCCCCGCCCACGGACCGCCCACTGCGGCGGCCCATCGCGGAGCTCTGCGGGCGCCGTGCGCACATGGGCGCCCCCCGCGTTGGGCAGCCTCGGGGCCTTCAGGCGACGCAGCCCGCTCGAGCCCTCGCCGACGTGTCCGAGAGGACAAACTTTTGATTCGCGGGTCGAGAGCGCACCTCTTCCGGTCGCAGCTTAGCGGGCCGCGCACAGCTTGAATCAACAAAGAGGGGCGGCAGAAGGAGGGGCAACCGAGAGGACCAACACACACGCGCACCACCGCTGAGAAGCACGCCCCGCTGGGAGTCAGGGGCGAGGTGCTCCAGCGGCTTGCTGGGACTTCGGCTCCGGTCCGTCTCTGGTGTGCCTGACCCTGCGCCTGCGGGCGCGCAAGGAAGGGCCAGCCTCAGGCTGGCACGCGCCACAGAGCTGCCTGTGCTTGCCGCGCTGGACCCTGGCGTAGCACCAGCACCGCCTGCAGATCCTCCATCCGTTCACCGTCTCCAGGTCGTTGCTGTCCGTGATGCCCTCGGCGCTCGTACCGTGGAGCCCTCCAGCCGTCGCCATGGCCTCGGCGGCCTGCCACCCCCTCTCACGGCTCCCCGCCCCGAGGCTGGGGCAGGGTCCTTCGCCTGACAGAGGCGGTTCAGGGGCGAGTTGGCTGACGAGCTGGCGCCAGCGGAGGAGGCAGCGGCCTCGACCATCCCCCAGCCTCGTCGCCGCCGCCAGGGCGATGGCCACTGCGCTCGCAGCCGGCAGGGCCGAGACGCCAGGCTTCCGCTTGACCCCGCTGACGTCTGGGGCGAAGGCCTTGACGTTGCACTGGTGCGAGAACAGCATTTTGAACCCCTGCTCCGACCAGGCCGTGCGCAGGCAGCGCCTGCACTGGTAGCCGCCGTTCTCGATCTTGATGGGTTGTGCTTCGTCGCGCTGAGGGGGGCGGGCCCTTCCTGACCTCCATGTGGCGATCGTTGAAGTCAGCGCGCAACTGGCCCGCCTCGTTGCCAGCACCACCCAGCGGACCACCCCGTCCAAGGTGGGCGCCCTGTGCTCGCGGGGCACGCGGGCCCCCTCTGCCGCCCTTGAAGGTGCCCGCCACGACTGTCGCGCACCTGTCGGCATCCGTGTTGCCGCGGCGATCGCGCCTCGTGATGGTCCCTTCTCGCTGAAGTCCTTGGCAGTGGCGTGCGCCTTGGCCTTCTTGATGTTGAGGCCGCTCTCGCCCAGGCCCGCCGAAGTCGTCGAGCGCCCTCCATATTCGCCTCCGCGTGGATCCCCATGCCGAAGTGGCCTCGGTGTTGCCCTCGCGGCCCCTCTCCAACATGCCCTTGGTGACGCAGGACGCGTCGAAGGCCACCGTGTTGGGCGGGAGCGAGTGCTTCAGCAGGACCTGCAAGCCCAGCAACCTCGCCCCGTCGACAGACTGCATTGGGCCTGGGAGCGGCGTGCCCAGGGCCCTCGTGCTGCGCCTCCTCTGGCGACCTGATAGCCACCCCCTCTGCCCATTGGAACGCAGGCATCCCTTTCTCCCAGATCACTCTGGCCAGGGTGCATCAGGGCTCGATGGTGGCTGCGAAGATTGGGTCGAAGGTCTCCGCGCTGCCCAGCATCAGGCACACCGCGAGCGACTTGCCTTGCGGCCTTGTCTCGATAGCGTTCCTGAGGACCGCCCTCGGCTGCCTGAGCGCCGTTCCGTTGAGCCCTGCGCTGTGGATGCCGCAGAGCAGGCTCGGGGCCACAACTGCGGAGGCCACCTCGGCAGCCGCACCTCGCCCGCGACGGAGCTTAGGCAGCCTGCGCCAGCGAGGGTGCGTCCGCTTCTTGGCCCCAAGAGGAGCTCCACAGAGAGCGGTACCCATCACGCTGCACTTAGAACTGCACATGGTTGGGCCCTTCGCCAGGGTAGTGCTTTTGCCTGGTCTCGGGCGCCCCGCCGGCCCCCCTGTGGGACTCTTCTGGCCCCTCTCTCTCTCTCTCGTCGCTATAGAACCCCCGAGCGAAGCGCCGTCAGGGAACGAAGCCCCTGCAGCCATTGCGGCTCGACCGAGGCTCGAGGCCCTCCGCCCCGGCCCAGGAGCTGCCCGCCGCGGCCGCGGCGGAGGCGCCCCGCCGCCGCGCGCGGCCATGGAGGCCCCGGGCACCGCCGCCGCCGCCGGCCGCGGCGCCTCCGAGGGCCCCGACGCGCGGGCACGGCCGCTGCCGCCTGCGGCGAGGCCCCTCGTCGTCGTGACCGGCGGGGGCTCTGGCATCTCGAGGAAGGAACGCACACGACAAACTTTGAACTTTTGGCGCTCCGCGCGGGTTTCTCGGATCCGCGCTGGGCCCCCCTGGCGGCGCTAGGCGGCGCCGCCCCTCGCGCGCTCCGCGCGCCAGGGAGGGGCGCCCAGCGCAGATCCAAGAAGTCCGCGCGGAACGCCAAGCATTTCTGTTTACGGCGTTTTTTCTTCCTCGAGCATCGGCCGGGCGCTCGTGCTGCACTTCGCCAGCGACCCCTCGGTGCGGCGCGTGGTCACCTGCGGCCGGCGCGCGGAGGCGCTGGAGGCCACGCGGGCGGCGTCGCCCCGGAGGGACGTCATCACCGTCGTGCGCTGCGACATCGCCTCGGAGGAGGGCCGCCGGAAGCTGCTGGCGGCCGTCCCGCAGGACCTGCCGCTGCGGCTGCTGGTGCACAACGCCGCCATCGGCGACCCGGCGCCGCTGGAGTCGCTGGCCGTGGCGCACTTCGAGGAGTCCCTGCGCGTCAACGTGGTGGCGCCGCTGGCGCTCACCCAGGCGCTCCTGCCGCTGCTGCGCGGCGGCGGCCGCGTGCTGCACCTGGGCACCTCGGTGGCGCACACCCCGCAGCGCGCCACCGCCACCTACGGCGTCACGAAGGCGGCCTTCTTCCGGCTCTACCAGCAGCTGAATGCCGAGGGGCTCGGCGTGCCTTGTGGCTCGCTGTCCCCCGGCCTGGTCGATACGGAGGGGGTGAGGGACCACGTCGCCAAGGCGAGGGCGCTCGACCTCCCCCACGTGGCGTTCTTCGACCGCGCCTTCGAGGCGGTCGGCGCGGCGCGCATAGAGGGGGGTGGCGACAGCGGGGGCGACGGGGCTTCTAAAAAGGCGGCAGCCTTCTTAGCAGGGCGGCCTGGAGGCTGCCAAGAAGCTTTCTTAGAGGCCATCGGGTCCTTGTAAGAAGGCCTTTATCCTTCTTAGATAGACCCCCCCCGCCTTCTTCAAGAGGCCGCCTCTTTTGCGCCACACCCCGTGGGCGCGGCGACAAGGCGGGGTGGACTACCCCGGAGGCGGAGCTGATGGCGTTCGTCGACCACCTGCTCGGCCTGGACGAGGAGACCTTCTTCGGTAGCAAACCATGGGAGCCTGGTGTATTCTTTTAATTCCGTTTTTAGCGTCAATGCGCGTCTGGGAGTGGATGCGATGCGTCAATTAGCGTCGGCTAGCGTCGATTAGCGTCGATCCAGCGTCGATTAGCGTCGATTCAGCGTCGCCTATAGCGTCGATTCGCGAGGTCCGACGAGCTGGTATGGGAGGCTCCCGTGCGTTGCCCCCGAAACCTTCGCGTCGCGCGAGTGGCGCTTCTCCGAGTGGAGGTGCCGGGCGGCGGCGGCGGCCGCCGCCGCCGAGGCCCCCGGGCGCCGGGCGGCCGCCGTGGCCCTGGGGCTGCTCGTGTCCCACGCTGCGGTGGCGGCCGCCGCGGCGCTGCTGGTGGCGGGGGCCGTCCGGCGCGGGCGGCTCTGAGGCGCTGCGGACCGCGCCGCGCCGGCGCGCACGTCGGCGGGCACGGCGGGGGCCTTTCGGTCACACGTAAGAGTGACCCTTCGCCGGAGTGCACTTTGGCACGTTCGGCGGTAATCAGCGCAGCGCGTCCCGCTATTGCCTTCGCTGCGTTGGACCAACCGGCCGCGACACCAAACATGTGCGTGCCGACTAGACGTAAGAGTGACCCTTCGCCGGATTGACCTTATGGCCGGGCCCATTGGGGTCCCCCGATCGCCGAATGCGATGCGATAGCAGCGTCCGCGCGCTCGTGTGTTGGCCCCCGCGCGGTCTCCAGAAAACCGCGCACCAAGGGTCAGCCTTACCCAGGGTTGCTCTTGCGTGTAGCCGATGGTTGACCCCAAAGGGGGGTCCAGCGGATAGAGGGTGGTGCAGTACATCTGGTGCAGCATATTCGTGGGGTTGCAGTAGAATTTCGGGTGTGCGATACGCTCCTGTGCGCACATGTGTTGTTGGCGCTTCGCCTTGCCACGCACTAGTTGCAACGCAGTGCAGTACTTGTCCCTGGCGCAGTGCATGTGCGTCACGGTTGCCCCAAACCTACTGCACCACCCCCTTTCAGCTGGACCCCCTCTTGGGTCAACCAAAGGAATGTTCTAAGAACCCTTCTGGCTGAGACCGTCTTGGTTTAACACATGTGGGCTTCTGTTCTAAGAACATTGCTGCTGTTCTTCGAACATTTTTGGGGTTCTAAGAACATGTCGTGGTGCGCCTACCGGGAGTGCCGGGACGGTCGGTCCCTGCTCGGCAGACGGCGAGCCGCCGAGGATGCCCGGCGTCGGGCACCAGTTTTCCTCTCGGGGCCCAGCCTCAGGTCGGGCACGTTACGTCCCTCTACAGGATGAATATTCTCAGGGGGAGGAAAACACACAGACACAAGTAATCGACGATTTCCCAGAAGATATGGGAAAATATGGGAAGTGGGGGGGAAGACAAAAGCTTAGAAAATATGGAAACACATGGGGAATCCTGTTACTTGTGTGTATTTATTTGTGTGTCCCAGGGCCCCTTCAGATCCAAACACAGTCAAGAAATAGTAGGGGGACATGCCCGACCTAAGCCCAGCCTCGGGGCGCACCTCGGCCGTGTGGCCCCTGCGGCGGGCGCGCCCGCCCCCCCGATGCCCCCACGGGCAGGCGGCAGCCCCCCCCCCCCCCGGCGGCGCTGGCTGCGGGGGGGGGTGCGGTGGGCGAGGCGCCGCCTTAGCGAGGGAAAGCACCCAAGGAAAAGGGGGGGGGGGCTCGCGGTCGAGAAGGGCTCGCCACCCTGGCTAGCGGTCCTCTCGGGCCGGACGAAAGGGGGGGATTGGGAAAGGGGGGGTTACAACATTTGCTGCATGCAGCTGGTTTCGGCCCCGCCGAGGGGCCCATTCCTCGATACATGGGCGCCTCCCGGCGCCGGGAGGCGCCGGAAAAATCAGCTACGTGAGCTGATTCTCAAACCCCCCCTTTGCTATCCCCCCCTTTCGCCCGACCCGATCCTCCTCCTCCTCCTCCTCCTCCTCCTCCTCCTCCTCCTCCTCATCATCATCATCATCTCATCATCCCCTGTTCCTCCTCCCCTGTTTCCTCCTCCTCGTAGCGGTCGTCGTTTTCTTCTTCTTCTTCTTCTTCTTTTTCTTCTTCTTCTTCCTCTTTTCCTCCTCCTCCTCCCCCTCCTCCTCCTCCTCCTCCTCCTCCTCCTCCTCCTCCTCCTCGTCCTCCTCCTCCTATCCTCCTCCTCTCCTCCTCCTCCTACTTCTGCTCCTCCCTCCTCCTCCTCCTACTCCTCCTCCTCCTCCTCCTCCTCCTCCTCCTCCTCCCCCCTCCTCCTTCTGCTCCTCCTCTCTCCTGGCCCTTGCTAACTGCAAAGGGGCCCGCATACATATCTTTCGCAGGGGCCCGGTTGTCGTGCCACAGCAGGGATCCGTCTCCGATGCGCTTCTCCTTACTTCCTACAACCCTCGTCAAAATTAACCTCAAAATTGTCTGACGTGGTTGAACTGCTTGTCGGAAGATCTGGGGCCGAGTATCGATGAGTGCGGGGTACTTGCATGCGCCGCCCCTCCAATGTCGGTCGACGTCAAACTTTCGAGTCAACTTCGGTCAGACTCTCTTTGCCCTCGCCCCGACATTGAAGGGGCGGCGTGTCGACATTGAGGGGCGCGCCGAAATCGAAATGACGTGCCAGCAACTGTTGAGGTTAATTTTGACGAGGGTAGTATTGTTAAACGCCCCCACATCCTTACCTAGCCAGCCGATAGCAACCCCGCCGTCCTTAAAAAACAAAAACAATGCCAATTCAATGTTTTCTCGCCAGCGTGTCGTCGAGTTGCGAAACATATGGCAGGAATAGGGCGGGGTGAACATCGCTTGGGTAACCCTAAGCGGGTGGTCGCGTCCTACCTATCAAAAAACAGTACAAGTCAACGTTTTTCTTGTCAGCATGGACTTTCTTGTCGTCGGCGCTGCGAACAGTGTAGCACATCGCGCGCGGACGCCTGGCCAACCCTGCGCGGACCCCCCCGTCCGATCTGTTAAAAAACACCGCAACGTCGACGTTCTTCTTGCCAACATGTACTGTCTTCTCGTCGGCGCTGCGAATCGCGTAGCGGGAATGGAACGCGGCGCACATCGCGCGGGGGCGCCTGCTCTTCAACATGGACTTTCTTGTCGTCGACGCTGCGGCCCGTCGGGTTGAGGAGCTGGGCGGGGCGGCAAGTCATAATGCTTCAGGCAAGTGCGGTTCGCCGCCGGCGCGCCCGTTGTCATGTCCACGCGGGTGCAAAACGTCTTCAAGACGGCCCAGAGAGGCCCGCAAGACAGCTTCCGAAGGCGTCAGACGGGCCAAGCGCCCCCTAAGACGGCCCAAGTGGCGCCAAGGGGCGCCCAAGAGGCCCTAAGAGACCCAGGAGACCCCCAAGAGGTAGAAAAAAAGGCGTCCAGGAGGTCCTGGAGAGACAACACAACTATTGTTTTTAATTTGGTATTTGAAGGATTGTGAGGTTGGCACCTACTTGTGTTCACAGTGTTCCAACCCGGAAGGTACATCCAAGAGGCCCTCAGGCGTATACCAGAAAACTCCCAGGAAGCCCCGCGAACTCCAAAGAGGCATTCTCCTCTTCCTCCTCAGTTTCTCCCTCCCTTTCTCTCTCTCCCTCCCCTCCTCCTCCTTCTCCTCCTCCTTCTCCTCCTCCTCCTCCTCTTCCTCCTCCTCCCCCTCCCCCATGCGCGGCAGGAGCGACATGATTGGCGGTGCATTGCGCGCAGGAGGAATGAGACGCGGCGCACTTCGCCCGCTGGACACGCTGTCGCCGACGATGTAACATGAGAGGCCGCAGCGGGGCGCGGCGTACATCGCGCGTGGTCTTGTTTCTCGTCGACGTTGCTCAATACGCCTGCACAGCAGGTGTGGCGTTTTCTCGAACCCACAGGGGGTGCGCACGGGGTGGTCCCTGAGCGCGGCTGCTATCCGTGACGGTCGTCCAGGGCACAGCAGGCGTGACGTTTTTCTCGACACCACAGGGGGTGCGCACGGGGTGGTCCCTGAACGCGGCCGCTATCCGTGACGGTCGTCCTGGGCACAGCACGCGTGGCGTTTCTCTCGACACCACAGGGGGTGCGCACGGGGTGGTCCCAGAGCGCGGCTGCTATCCGTGACGGTCGTCCAGGGCACAGCAGGCGTGGCGTTTTTCTCGACACCACAGGGGGTGCGCACGGGGTGGTCCCTGAGCGCGGCTGCTATCCGCGACGGTCGTCCAGGGCACAGCAGGCGTGGCGTTTCTCGACGCCACAGGGGGTGCGCACGGGGTGGTCCCTGAGCGCGGCCGCTCTCCGTGACGGTCGTCCAGGGCACAGCAGGCGTGGCGTTTTCTCGACACCACAGGGGGTGCGCACGGGGTGGTCCCTGAGCGCGGCCGCTATCCGTGACGGTCGTCCAGGGCACAGCAGGCGTGGCGTTTTCTCGACACCACAGGGGGTGCGCACGGGGTGGTCCCTGAGCGCGGCCGCTATCCGTGACGGTCGTCCAGGGCACAGCAGGCGTGGCGTTTTCTCGACACCACAGGGGGTGCGCACGGGGTGGTCCCTGAGCGCGGCCGCTATCCGTGACGGTCGTCGCTGCGGTATCGGCGGGGCAAGTGCCACCAACATCATTTTCACATGCTTCACTTCAGCTATCATCACCCCAGCCAAAATATAAGTATGTGGGGTTCCTCGGTATCGTAATGTCATATTAACGTGCGCGAATACAATATCTTTTGCACTGGGTGAAAGGGGGTGTACCGATACCAGCTGGCTTTGGATGTTATGAATTCATATTTCGGATGGACGATGGGGCAAACACGTATGTAATTTGCAATACGAAAAAGGGG